GACTCGGGCGCTCGGAAAATAAAGATTCGAAAGCCAGCTCGCACATCATCCTGTATCACAGTGGCCCACGCGACTGCTCTGGTAAACATGGTGTGGTGATCACCCTCTCGAAACAAGCAAACCATGCACTACTTGTTTGGGAACCAGTCAATGAACGGGCGGTCTACGTGCGACTGAAGGGTCGCTTGACAAACATCTTTATCGTCTTCGTGTACGCACCAGCTTCCGCTGCCAGATACTGCAATAAAGAGCCTGTTTGCACGCAACTGCAGGCGTTAGGCGAAGAACTCCCTCGCCGCTAGCTGTTGATAGTGTCAGGAGAACAGAATGGTCGGGCTGGACTTGATGACTCCACACTCCTTTTATAGGCAGTTTTGGGCCTGGCTCTCCATGTAACAGTGATGAAAGATTACTGGACTTTTTAACATAACCGAACACGAACACGTGCAAGAAACATCTGCTGACCTGGAAACAAAACGATGGTCATAAGGCTAGTCAGGTCGACTACATTATACTAAGCTCAAAGTTCCTCAACTGGGTTCATTATAGCAGATCACTGCGTGGTGCCGAGATTAGTAACCCAAATGGGTCTGGCTATATTCTCGTTGGTACACACTTGAAATTTCACCTCACATCGGCACCCAAAATGTCACACGCTTGACGCCTTGGCCGGCAAAATCCGACAATTCAGCACTGTCAAGGCCCTGAGCAAACAAACGCAGTCCTGTTTTACGACCCTAGCCGATGGGAAAAGTAGTACCCAATGGTCATTGCTGAAAACATTATTCTACGGGCAGCTGTGAAAAACTTGGGATATAGCCAACGACGGTGCAGTGACTAGAGCAGCGAAAGAGCCGTGGAGTTGTCTGCTCAGATGGCTCAAGCCAGGTGCTGTAATAAGGATGCCTTCCACCAACCCAGAAACACGATGCACATGGTGACTTCTTGTGGCGGATGGTGGCACTTTATCGTGTACCGGCAAAAGTCATCACCATGACTAATGCCTATTACCACTCAGCACTGCGTGAGTTCTGGTACATATCAATCTTTCACAGCTTTCGGTATTTGGTTTGGCGTTCGATAAGACTGTAATTTTTGCCCATTCTATTTGATTACGCTATTGACCGGATTCTTGTAAAGGCCCTATGTAAAAAAGACTGTTGAGCTTGCACCCGGAATCCGGCTGATTGAGTTCAACTAGGCTGAGGTTATTGCCCTAGAAGCTTCGAATTTAGATGATTTGCAGTCCATAATGTCACGGATGAATGAGGTCGTTAAATCAGTCAGTTTGTCAATAAACACTAGGAGGACAAAAATGTTTTCACGGTGCATCCGCGACCAAGAGAAAGCACCTCTTGAAATTAATGGTCGTAAACTTAAAGTAGACAGTTTCAAATACATCGGTGCGAGATTGCTGCTGAATTAACAGAGTAAGAATGATATTGTCTTCCGAATCGATGCAGCTCGTCGACTTTTCTTAAGCCTTAGAAAGTGCCTACGAACTCGACGCGATATTTTTATTATCAGGAAGGTTCGTGTTCAACATGCATTCGTTCGGTCTGTCCTTTACGGCTGAAAGCTGGACTATGCGCGTGGAAGATGACAGAAAATTGGAGGTATTCGACTACTACTGCTTGAGGGCTATCCTTCGAGTGAAGTACACCGACTTGGTATCAAATGAGATAGTCCGCACTCACTGCGACAACATCGTAAGTACATCCCAGGCCATCCAGTAAAGACGACTGAGGTGGTTTGGACACGTTTTTGTCTTCAACCTCAAGAGCTCAGTGTTACTACCCTCGATCTGGCACCATAACCCAATAGGAGGCATCGGAGAGGAAGTCAGCTCAAAACCTGACTCGACATTGTTCGTCAGGACATCAAAGTAATTCTTGGACCTTCGGTATTCGGCCTGCGTCTATGATGAAGAGGATGAATTGAACTGTCCAAATCTACTGCCACGAATCGTCACGGGTAACAGTATCAAGGCCAGTTAGATCACACACTATGGAAGGCGTAACAGGTACAAGTACAGAACCATCTTGACTCCTAAATCGGAGTTGTGAACTATTTCGGTATGAGGAAGTAAAAAGATGAGAGTCGGGAACGCCGATCCTTGGCTCGAACAATGAAGACAAAGCAACACACACCACGTTTCAAATAAGACTTTTTGCACAAGATCCTTAAGTCGACAAGGAAAAGTTGCGGAACTTATTACAGCATCATGAGAGGTTTATGCGGACTAGAAATTGTGGTTTACTAGTCCTGTGGATTAAAAATTGTTCTAAATTTGTTAAACAAATGGGCTTGTCTCAGTAAGTTCAATACGAAGCTATTCACGGTTTCTGTGAGGGGAAAAACGAGTTCGTGGTAAAACATAAACACTTAATTTCGAAGTCGCGTGACTGGAAAGCCTCTGTGCTTCGTTGTACGGTTAGATATCTCGCGACAGATTAGTGTTTTTTATGAACAGAAGTTAAAGCCCGTATAAGTCTGCAAAACTAGAATACACTACACCCTATATTCAGGGCGTAGAATGTGAATTTATCTTAAATCTTATGTAATTGTGATAAACAGTGGATAACCTAGCTCAGGGGTCGGCAACCTTTTTAACTCAGAGAGCCAAAAAAGCAAATATTTGGAAATGTATTTGAGAAAGAGCCATGTAGTATATTTTAAAATGAAATTATATTAAATGCTAGTATAACAAGCCTCTGAATTTATTCTTTTAAATAATGTTATTATCATACTCACTAGGCACTATACATTAAATACGTACTTTATTATGTGTAGAGCTTGGTTATGTACAAGAAAAGAATTGGTAAAGGAAACATATGGTCGATCACTGGAACAAAATTTATCTTTTTCCTGAGCTCAGGAAAAAATAAATTTTGTTCCAGTGATCGACCATATGTCTCCTTTACCAATAAACATTCCTGGAATACGAGTATTCTCTCGCATTCGCAAGAAAAGAATGCTGTTTGTCTGTATTTTACGTTATAACAAAAACAAACAAAACATGATTTGCGACCTGTAACCAGTTGCGCACGCAGAGAGATGAGAATCTCACTATCCTGTTGGCAAACTGGGCTTTGTAGCCG